GTCCCATAAGCTCATGCACATTACTGACTCCATTGTTTAAATATCCAATTTTCAACCCAGCGTTTGTGCTAAGGAGGTTACTCTCACTGTGCGATCATAGCTCTCCGGGAGCAGACAACATCCGCCCGAAAGCACTGAATGCTGCGGCCACAAAGCTACCTGTACCACTGTCACAGTCCTTCGAAAGTTCCCTCGATGAGCAGCAAGTCCCCCTATGTTGACGGGTGGCGTTATCACCACAATTTTTAAAGGCGTTGGCCATTCAGAGCCTGCAAACTATCGCCCAGTGATTCTGCTCCCTGTGCTCGCGAAGGTGACGGAAGCGGTCGTCGCTGTGGTACTAATGGACTACCTGGAAAAGTGGCACCGAAGCAGCGTGACTTCCGTCTACATCGGTCATGAACCACCAACCTGCTGATTGAACAAGGCTGCTGGACAGAAGTGGCTGATGATGGAGTAGGGGTTGACGTCATCCATCTGGACTTCTCCAGTGTTTTCGACCGCCTGGATCACCGAATCTTACTTCCCAGGATACAGAGCTGCAACATCGGGCAGTGACAAATTGCTTAGTGTCATATTTTGGAATTTCAGTATTCCTCTTGCTCGCCTCTTTGTTTGCAAAGAATGAAGCGCTGTGGCTTATTGAGTTTAAGGCCATCACCAGGTTCGTCAGCTGGGTGAGTAATGTGTAGCGTCGCCGCTGAATATTCATGCCCCAAAGACTGCAAGAAGAAAACGAAGATGAGCCAGGACCGCATTGTATGCATGAAAACACTGCTTTCTTATACAGGGTACAACAGTTTATGAAACAACGCTAGTAAAGCACGTTGGAGCCTACCAACAGCATAGGAAATAAGGGATACTAGGAGCACATGAGCAGTGGCAAAAGGAAGAACCAATCAGACAAGTTCGAGGAAACCGCATTAGCGGAGATAAACCCCTGAGATAGCATCCGTTATGAACGAGTTAGGCCAAGCAATCGAAGCAAAGGAATGATGCGTTTAAACAACTTTCAACTAACAAACGATGATGAAACGAACGCAGGCGACTAAGAATTGTGGCAAAAATTAAATGTCCACTGTGCATCCCCTAATATAATGCCACCAGAAACGTTGTCGGTGCGTGGTTTCATTAAAATGCGCATGTCATATTTTTGCATTGTGGACTCAGCCTTGAGCCGGTGCTCGGAAATTAGGCTAGTGCGACCCGCACTGCAAAATTTTAATGCCCTTGTTGATATCTGTCTGGATTTAGACACCAACCTTAAAATCCTCGGGCCATGGCCTTTATAACTTGGTAATCGATATAAATTCGTTGTGGACTGAGCTACGACATTTTCAAAGTATAGGCTTTCATTAATGTAGCGTATTGCTCTTAGTCGCTGGTGATCGTTTCGTGTTCATGACGTTCTCCGGCATCCAGAAAACCGTGACCTAAAATGGCCATGGCTACGAATTCCTTCCGGTATTCGTCCAAGCCGTGCTTCCACTTCTTATGCTTGCTCCACGGAATTTCCCGGAATATGCAAAAGGAACAGGACACAATTCGGATACACACTGTCCGCGGTAGAGCTGCTTTGGATTCACCGGCGGAAGTCGGCACAACCTGGAGAAGTCTCGGTTCCACACTATGGAGGATTATCCGAATAACACCTGTTACACTCAACCGAAATCAGAACAACAATATTGCAAATGGAAGTATAGTAGAAGCAATGGCAATAGTACATCACCAGTCCACACTGGGTACAGAGCAACTGTTTAGTTTTAAGCAAGTCACATGTTTTAGCTAAGCACTCGCTTTTGAACCAATCAATAAGCATCGCTGATTAGTCGGGAGATGGACACTCAAGCACTAGCGCGCACAATGCAGCTCCACAGGCTAGGTAGTGTAGCATGACCTTGACGCGCTCAACGTCCGTATCACACCAGAATCCTCCACCGACCTAGAAAACGTTTTGTTCTTTACAAGCGCGCCAAAAAATGGATCCTGTGGGATACGCATCTAACCTGATGTCACTTGAAGCGCGCGACAATCGAAAAGATACACCGAAGAGGGACACAGCATGAAAGATCGCCTAAACACTACCTTCATAGATGACGTGCGAGAACATCCTTCTAACGATATTCAAGAGGACGGTAGGTACGATTTAGAACATTGGCCGTTCATTCGTAAAACACCTTCTTTGGATAATACTGTGGTACTATCGCTCACCAACATTCTTACCAAATTACGGAGATTGCGGTCTTAGAATCTTAAATCTTTTAGTTCAGTCGGAGAAAAAAGCGGCGGATATTTTGGATCGGTAGCGGCGAAATAGGAAAATTCTTCCTTCTGAACTTCGGTTAATGGTCGCGGTAGCCTTGAAAATTTCAAATATGAAAGCATCTGAGGCAGCCAGCATAGGGACGATGATACAGGAGCTTAACTTGCTCGCTGTGTACTTGACTCTGAGGTAGGTCTAAACGAAGAATGGGACGCACCTTGGCTGAATCAAGTTACAAACGAGGTATCATTATCCCATCAAAAAGCGAGTAACGGCCGACCTCCCATCGGTCGGCAATCTCCCACAGTTGACCGCTTCACACCTCTGTGGGCTCCTAGACACTGTTAAACTGGCCTGCTTTTATACTAATGCTCAGCCTCCTTTCAACAAACTAGCCGAACTGTAAGATTGCCAAGCTTCCGGGCCATATGATGTCAATGGTATCACTGAGACGTGGTTGCACACAGGAATGACGGACGCTGACGTTTCACTACCGAGCATCTCGCTGATCCGGAACCATGGGCTGACAAAAGAAGGAGGTGTAATCCTGTATTACCGAAGCAGTGGCGGATTCAGACTCGCAGTTCCACGACTCTCTTTGATGCCGCTTGCAGCTAAAAGGCAGAGACGGTTGCCTTATTCTCTTGGTGGACAGTCCCCCCTAACTCTACACCAAAACCGACTGCCACCTAGCGGCTGCTTTAAGAAGCAGTTTACAACGAAAGTACACTCACATATTTATCATGGGTGATTTCAAGGTACATTTTGTAGAGACTCCTGCCACGATCGGAGAACAATTCAAAGCCGATCTACAAGATCTCGTAATTACTGTTCCCCTTTACAATCAAATCATTGTGCCGATTCGGTTGAGAACGGGTAACAGACCATCTGTGCTGGATCTTGGGCTTACCAACGAAGAGCATAGGATTGATGTGTTGGTTGTAGACTGCCCGTTGGGTCGCAGTGATCACACAGTCATCAAGTGTAACTTCATCTGCTTTGCGGAATATGGTAATGAGAACGAGGAGACTGTGCGAAGCATCACAAGCTAGGATCGACTATCCTAGCTCGTCAGCGCTGTAACTTGGTCGTTCCTTGCCAAGGAACCCCCTGAATTCGCCTGAACCGAGTTCATCCAAATTTCAATCAGCTGATTGCAGAAGCTTCAGAGATAAAAGTTTGCAATAAACTTAAATCAGTTTCTTTCGTTAGGAGCAGAACTCGAAAATGGATGGCAGTGCGCAACGCAGCATCGCGAGTGTACAGAGAGGCTCCTACACCAGAATCTTGGGACAACTACGTAACCCAACATAACGACTACATTCAACTGCCAAGAGAAGACAAGTCTGCATAGCAGCAGGACATCGTAAAAACCTTCCGTGCTATGTAATATCTGCTGTACAAGCAAGTTATTAGCTTAAGAAAGGTGAGGCAAGGATTTCCTTCAGTGAGGGCGGCCGATGGACCAACAACAACATCTGTGGAAGCAGCAGACGCGTTGCGGATGCAATATGCCTCACGTTTCAGAGGGTCTTGCCACCAAGCGATCTTTCAACATTTGTCGTGTCTCCGCCAGGACTAACATCACTTTTACCGCGAAGGCTGCATTGTAAATGCTGATGTCTCTACGCAAACACAGCTCGCCGGGTGTCGACACCATACACCCAGAGGCATTGAAAGCAGCAGCAAGTCAAGTGGCAGGACCTCTAGCTCAGTTTTCCAGGCGCTGCTTAGAACAGAATCAAGTTCCCGCCATGTGGAAGCGTGGAATAATAGCACGGATTTACAAAGCTGTAAGCAGAACTGAGCCCTCCAACTACCGCCCAGCATCCCTACTTAATATACTCTCCAAGGTCGTGAAATCCATCTTTGCCGATGCACTGGTGTTTTACCTGGGAAACTGTAACAGCAGCACGCCTGAGCACACGGTTTCTGTCTACAGTGGTCATGTTCAAAGAATTTACCAATCGCACACAGTAGTTGGACCGTGCCAGCTAACATTGAAGAAGGTGTTGATGTGATCTAGCTGGAGTTTTCGAAGGCTTTCGATCGTCTGGACCATCGGATACTGCTATGCAAGCTCCAACATTACGAGATCAGCGAACCTCTTTTAAGCTGGATTGACAACTACCTACTTCAACGGTAATTAGTGGCCAGAGTTCGGAGCCCTTTAGCGGGCCCCATACAAGTCGAGTGTGGTGTACCGCAAGCCTTATTACTAGGTCCATGTTTGCTTTTGTTGTTTATTAATGTCCTTACACAGGGAATCCTCTCAAACTTCCTAATGTCTGCTGACAATATGATGATTTGGCGCAGGATCCAGGCGAACGCCAACCATCATCCGCTTGACAGTGACCTAGATACGGTGTATCAATTGTCAAACAAAAGCTTGTTGCATTTCAACGTCAGTAAATGCAAAGTGCTTCCCATCCGACAGCAGAGCAGTTACTCATACCGGCTCGGAATGAATGATGACTTGGGCCTCGAAGACTTGGAAGCAACACGTCGTAGTGTTGCGGCGCGCGTTTGGACAAATACACAGCTCCATATTTCGATAACTGCTCAGTGCATATGTTCGCCCCCTTTTCGAATACGCAGTTTAAGTCTGGCATCCATGGCTGAAAGGTGACCTTAATGCACTGGAGCAGCCACAGCGTCGGGCATTTAAGAAACTAATTGGAATTCGAAATATTTCATACCACGAGAGGCAGCAACGACTGGAGTATTCAGTGGAACCTGTTGGGCGGAGCCTGGGATACTAGTCGGTAAGCAATGACACGTAAGACGTGTCAAATACGACAGTATAGAAGTCGGAGGCAACTGAACCCAACGTATATTGTACAGGCTACAAAAATAGAAAGCGAATCAGAGAGAGCGAGAAACGTGCAGCGTGGAACTCACCAAAACGGTTTGTGTCCATGGATGTGCAGTCAGTTAAACAAATGGACGTTTCGAAGGTTAAAACAACCATAAAATCCAATGTTATAAGATACTGAAAGAGCATGTTTTCAGTTGCACTACAAGGGCCTCCCCCTAGAAGGCTGAAGGATGGAAGCCTTCGATGGAGCTGTTAGTGGGGGGAACGGAAGGTGAGGGTGGATGCAAATGTTTGCAGGGGCTTGAGAATAGCTTCCAAAGTGGGGTGTAGCAGATTTCGCTGGGTCCAGGCTTTTGTTAGTTTTATTTATGACGATCGTGTGGACCAGAGTGCATCATCGGTGGGCCGTCGGGGCGGGCTGGTCGGACTGCAAAAAAAACTGGCTAGTCCAGAAAAATGGCCGACAGGACCTTCCCATTGCTGCAGACCCGACGGTGCGCTTGGGAGGTGTCACTCCCCCCACCGCACTTTAGTCCACGGTCCTCGTCCCACGAAGAAATCTAGGCGTGCTCGTCTCACGAAGGAATGCGGGCGTCCTCCACCCACGAAGAAATCCGGCGTCCTCGTCGGCAATGCCTAAGCGGCGTTTGGGGACCGATTCGTTCGTGGGTGTCTGCGATCGAGGGCGACAGTCTGTTCCTTGGGTGCGGACGGCTGGCGAGTCACTCCAGGGTTGCGTTGAGCCGGTTGGCGAGTCACTCGAGGGTTGCCTGGGCAGTTCCGGCAGTTGAGTTTCTGGAAGGTAGAACTCAGAGGGGGTTGGCAAGGGTAGGGGAAGTGGCTTGACGCCGGAGAGGGGACATGGCATGTATGATAAAAGCAAATACGCTTTTTAGGTTTTTTAAAATGTTTTGGATTTTTTTTGTCGATTTTGCAAAACGTTTGTAGGTGAGACGCAGGAGAACCATTAAAGACGAAAAAGGCGTGTTAATGGAAATAGCAAACGCTTACAAAATCGGAAAAACGGACCGGACGTTTGACCTGTCTACCGCGTCGGTCGGTTGCCTGGGGTTGCGGCGGGATAGGTTGCGGGTCAAGGGGTACGGAGGGATCCGGGTTATCCAGTGCTCGGGAAGTCACCACAGGTGCGGGTGCTTGTGAGAGAGCATCAGGATGAGCTGCAAGTGGCTCGTCAAAGAAAGCCACTTTGAGGCGGTCGATGGACACCGTTGTTCGGTGACCATTCTGGTCTATAGTAAAATGTTTCGGAGTCCGTTGTAGAACTCTGAAAGGGCCAGTGTAGGGAGGCTGGAGAGGGCGCCGCACTGCGTCGGTGCGGAGGAAGACGTGAGTGCAGGTAGAGAGTCCGCTGTGCATTTGCACATCTCTAGTCTGTTCACGGGGCGGGGTCGGGCGTAGTGAACGCATGCGCTGAGCTAGGGAGGACGCAAAGTTAGGCGGAGGCATACCCGACGATGCGGGAGGTGAAACGAATTCTCCTGGTAACTTGAGCGTCGTTCCGTAAACCAGCTCTGCTGGTGCACATTGCAAGTCAGCTTTGATGCTGCTGCGAATGCCTAAGAGAACGAGCGAAATGTTTTCGCTCCAGCTAGGGTCGGAGGAGGCGCAGAGCGAGGCTTTAAGCTGTCTATGGAAACGTTCAACTAACCCGTTGGCTGCTGGGTGATACGCTGTGGTATGGATGCGGCGACAACCTAAGAAGTTGCAGAACGTATCGAATTGTGAAGATTCGAAAGGCGTTCCTCGGTCAGTTGTGATGGTGGATGGGCATCCGTAGTGCGAGACCCATCGGTCCAAGAAGGCCCGGATAACAGTCTCAGCTGTGCAGTCTGTTACGGGGATAGCTTCTGGCCATCTGGTGAAGCGGTCGACACATGTAAGAATGTATACAAATCCGCGTGACGGAGGCAAGGGACCTACCAGGTCTAAGTGTACATGCGAGAACCGAGAGTCCGGGGCAGGAAATGAACCAAGAGGACTGCGGGTGTGACGATGTACTTTGGAGCGCTGGCATTGAAGGCAGGCGCGAGCCCAGGTACGAACATCTTTGTTTACGCGTGGCCAAACGAAACGTTCGGTGACCAGTTTCAAAGATGCACGGATACCGGGATGTGACAGTGAGTGAAGTGCGTCAAAGACTGTGCGTCTGAAGGAGACGGGCACGAGAGGTCTAGGACAACCTGTGGACGTGTCACAGAGGATGGTTCCTTCCGTGGTTTGGAGAGGAACAGGTTGCACATGCAGCGAAGTGGACTGCAGAGTGCGTTGTATATCCTCGTCTTGAGCCTGAGCCGATGCCATTGCGGCAAGGTCGACGGTAGGCAAAGACTGCAGAGTGAGGTTGACGCGTGAGAGAGCGTCGGCGACGGGATTGTCGACACCTGAGACATGACGTATGTCAGCAGTGAACTGCGTGACAAAGTCTAGGTGTCTTGTTTCCCGTGGTGAGTATTTGTCGCTAGCAGAGTTGAAGGCAAATATAAGGGGCTTGTGGTCAGTGTAGACCGTGAAAGCGCGGCCTTCAAGTGTGTGCCGGAAGTGACGTATCGCTAGGTAAATGGCCAGCAGTTCTCTGCCAAACGTGCTGTAGCGGGATTCCGCTGGCTGCAGGCGCTTGGAGAAGAACCCAAGGGGTTGCCAGCGCCCACCAACGTGTTGTTGGAGGACGGCTCCTACTGCGACGTCTGAGGCATCAGTCGTAATAGAAAGAGGTGCAGTCGATTCGGAATGAGCGAGGAGGGCTATGTTGGAGATAGCATCCTTGAGCTCGACGAACGCTGCCTGTGCTGTGTCAGGGAAAGCGAACTTACGTTCATTTCCTCTGAGTATGTCTGTCAGTGGCTGCATGAGCTGAGCGCAGCGCGGAATGAAGCGTCGATAGTAGTTGACCAAACCACAAAATCGACGGAGGTGCTTGAAGGAAGTCGGAGCTGGGAAGTCCTTGATTGCCTGGATCTTATCAGGAAGGACTTCGATACCAGACGATGAAACAAGGTGACCTAGGAATTCTACCGTTGACTTGCCGAGTTCGCACTTAGTCGGGTTGACTGTGACACCGTGTTGGGTCAAGCGCTGGAAGAGAGCTCGAAGATGCTCGAGGTGCTCTTGTTCCGATGAACTGGCTACTAAGATATCATCGAGGTAGGAATATGCAAAGTCTAGGCCACGAGTGACATCGTGGATGAAGCGTTGGAAGGTTTGTGCGGCGTTGCACAGTCCAAATGGCATCCTTAAAAATTCAAACAAACCGAAAGGAGTGATTACGGCTGTTTTAGGAATGTCATTGTCTTCCACAGGTATCTGGTGATAGGCGCGAACCAGATCGATCTTGCTGAAGATCGTCTTACCTGTGAGGCACGCGGTAAGGTCCTGCATGTGTGGGATGGGATACCTATCTGGGACGGTTAGGCGATTGAGTGCGCGGTAATCACCGCAAGGACGCCAGTCACCAGATTTCTTGGGCACCATCTGTAGGGGCGAGGACCAAGGGCTGTCGGAAGGGCGGATTATTCCGAGTTCAAGCATGTGCTCAAACTCCGCCCTAGCTACCCTTAGTTTCTCGGGCGATAGTCGGCGTGGACGGCATGACACCGGTGGGCCATTCGTCCGTATGTGGTGCGTGACTTGAGCTGCCACGGGCAAAGCTGCGTTCATTGGCTGAACGAGCTTGGGATACTGAGAAAGGAGATTACCGTAGGCTGACGAGGTCTGGGGAAATGCATAGACCGGGGATATAGATGTCACATCGGCGGTGATGCCACGTACGCTGAGTTTTGTTGCAGTGTCGACTATCATCTGGCGTTTCGCATCGACCAAGAGGTCGAAATGCCTGAGAAAGTCAATGCCGATGATGGCAAAGGGGACTGCAGCGACGGTGAATACCCAGCGGAAAGTGCGCCGAAGACCTAGGTCCAGGGTAAGTGACCGCTGACCATAGGTGGCTATTGGCGTGCCATTGGCGGCACTGAGGCTTGTCGACAGAGAAGCGGTAGGCTCACCTGGCATAGAGGGAATGACGCTGACTTCCGCCCCGGTATCAACTAAGAACTGGGTATCGGAGTCATAATCCCTAATGTAGATGAGACGACTTTGGGCTTTGCCGACGTTCGTAGCCATTACAGCCCGGCGTGGCGAATCATCTATAGCGGAGTAGCTACATGGCTGTACGCACTTACATGCTTTAGTACCGAAACGCGAGTGGTAAAAGCAGTAACCTGAGGCATCAGGTTTTGTGCGACGAGGCGATGATCCAGAGCGGTTGCGGTGCTTACGTTTTAAGGTGAGTTCTTTGATCTGGCGCTGAAGCGACGCTATCTGCAATGATAATGCGTCTATTGCCGACGGAGGGCTAGTCGCGCCTGTCGTGGTTGCGCCAGCGCAAAGCTGCTTAAGTGCTTTGATTTCAGTCTCTGGCTGGTGCCGTTCGATGACGCGGTCTGCTAGATCTGCAATTGCTGTGATGGGCAAGTCACTTGCTACTGCAAGGATAGCCTGTGTGCTTTCAGGAAGGCGTTGCATCCACAGCTCGCGGAGAATCCCTACGTCCATGTTGGACGTGCCGATGAGCTGTTGCATTTCGCGCAACAAGGCTGAGGGCATCCTATCTCCTAGCTGCAGATCACTAAATAGTTGCTGCAGACGGACCTTGTCAGAAGGCGTGATTCGCTGAATAATAGCCTGTTTAAGTGTCTCGTATTTCATTACTAGAGGGGGGCAGAGTATGATGTCTCTCACCTGCGAGGATATACTATAAGGAAGGCAAGATATTAACTGATTATACATGGCGAAATCAGAAGAAAGCTTACGAATATAAAATACGGATTCTAGGTGCAGAAACCATAATAAAGGATCATTCTCCCAAAACGAGGGAGGAGTTAAGGCAACAGAGTTGACCATGACAGGCTGAACGGCGTTAGCCGCGCATGGAGATGGCTTATCCTCTAGATAATCCATTGCAAAATGCAGGTAAAAATGTGAAAGGTGAGAAAACAATATGATCACAAGTAATGAATCACAAAATCACTGGAACGAGCTCACCAGAATGAAAATGCAAAATGGCGGGCGGCGTGTTCCTGACAGGGGGTCACCAATTGTTGGGCGGAGCCTGGGATACTAGTCGGTAAGCAATGACACGTAAGACGTGTCAAATACGACAGTATAGAAGTCGGAGGCAACTGAACCCAACGTATATTGTACAGGCTACAAAAATAGGAAGCGAATCAGAGAGAGCGAGAAACGTGCAGCGTGGAACTCACCAAAACGGTTTGTGTCCATGGATGTGCAGTCAGTTAAACAAATGGACGTTTCGAAGGTTAAAACAACCATAAAATCCAATGTTATAAGATACTGAAAGAGCATGTTTTCAGTTGCACTACAAACCTATCGCAGACCACAAGGCGACTTGATTATGTCATAATTCATTCCGAAAGACCCACGTTATGTGTGCCGCTACTTACTGCAACTCAACACCAAAATAAACATGAGGGGCCACTTATTGAGACGCGCAGAGCAGTAGAGGCGTCTGGAGTGTCGGAGAAGTTTATTTTCCATTCGTGTCAGTCAACAGTGGAATGCTCTCGCAGAATCGGTCGTCTCTGACCTGACAATAATAGTATTTAAAAGACGGTTGAATGACGCACTCATCCACTTAAACTTTTTCACTTAGCGCTTCGTCTCCTTCCTACACCTTGCGTTTACCGCAGATTTATTTGATCTTAACTGTGAGCGCAGTGAATATAAGGGGATTGCAGAACTACAGCAAAGCAATTGGCAAGTCGTTAGTTTCATATATAAAATACTCACTTTATTATTCTGATTCTGATTCTGCTTATTATGTCGATAGCCCTACCAACTATCCTACGGAATTTGCAAAACAATGCTTCCTAATCCGTATACATGCAGTGCTCATTGTTGCGGGCCCGTCAAAAATCCCCGCAAAAAACGCGCCAGTAACTCCGGCATAATGGCTGTGTGAAGCCGAGTCCAATTTCTCCCCACAACGCAGCAGTGTTCAGCCACTCCGAGGAGCGTCCCAACTGCGAACCTTTTGACAATGGTCATTTGCAAACTACCACCTCTGCGTGGTGACTTTTTTCCCTAACTTAATAACCCATAGCACTGGTTGTGATTGCCCTTTGTCGGTCGTAAAAGAGCCTACAGAGGACCACTTGTCTTTTCTTTCTCTTCGCCTCAGTTGGGAGTCGGTCGGGTCGCGTGATTGCGTGTGAGTCGTTTGCTGGCCAGCCTTCGCGTCTAAGTCATTAGCGCGCGTCTACCGTAAACCCCCTCTCGTGTGCGTCCCCCTCGTCCGCGTCCGTTCCGAGGGCTCCGCGTCTATTCGAACACTTGCGGCTAGGATCGTCACACGCTCGCTCAATTTTCCGTCTCACCGGCTAAGCTAACGTCATCAGGTCAGCGCAACTCCGTTCGAGTGGCCAGCGTTACAAGTCGTCATCGTAGGCGTACTCCAACCGTGCTAGCGACAATCTTATCAGGTGTTAGGTAATCGCAACAGAGGTGGCGTTCCCTCAATTATAACCGTGGCGACGCAATTATAACAGCGGCGACGACTAAGGCAACCTGCGCAATTATAACACTCATCCAGTTTTGATGACTTGCGAACTTCACCGGAATTGCGTGCCTAGCTATAACACGAGGAACGTTACATTGAAATTTTCCTGATACACTTTGTTAATGAGGGATCGTCAAGTGGGTTACATTCAATAATGCGGATCAGTGACGATACACTAGATAATCTCTTAAGGAGCGCTTGGGCATCTTGGAATAAATTCGACTGCCAAGGAGGCCTGCGTCTATTCGTTGGAGCTTGTTCACGTACAGTGGGAGTAATTGAATAATTAACTTTCTGTTTGCTCTTGCTGATAACCATCCACTTGTCTCAACGCCCTTCTGAGATTTTGAAACAGTTTGGATACTGAGCGAAGCTATGGTCATAATTATTCTAAGCGATCTGTAGCTGATCGTTACCGGCGTAGTTGAGCCTTTGGTAATTAAGGTTCGATGGTAAAATTGATGGTTTCTAAAAAGCTACCCAGTCTCTTTCGTCGGTGCCAGAGAGAAAATCGTTTGGGAGGTTTGGGGCCTATTCCCTGTCATGCTTTCTCTCGGTGAAATGATTTTGTTTTCCAAATTTACCTAATCGCTGGTTTTCATTTGTCTCCCCAAATGTTGTTCTACAGCTCAAGGGTTGGAGAAATGAGCGCTTGTTTCTGTGACAAGGATGTACAATTTGTGATGTAGATGAACGAAGTTATTTGCACGAGTTGGATCCAATAGATTGAGTGCACTCAATAACGTGTGTTAAGCTCACTTGTATGAGTGCGGTTAGGAGTGTCTGAATAAATTCAGGTGAAGTATGAGAACGGGGTGCATGCGACCGCACGGTGCTGCCCCTTATTTATTGAAACTTTTGAACCGCCATTCGTTGAAAATGTGCTCTATGCAGCTCCATCTATGTCACTGTATCTCACTTCAACAAACATGTGATTGATGAAAATTTTAAAAACGTGTTCACCATGACAAGTTAATGAAGGTTGATATTTGGATGCCACACTTTCCGGCACTGAGCCTATAGCATGTGTGAAAGAGAGTATTTCCTTCAAACCAAACTCCTCTCACTCCGCATCTCACCATCCACTAACAACGGTCGTGAACATGCAGCTTGGTCTATGACTTCATCGGTATGAGACCATAATTAATTTCATGTCATTCGTCGTTTATTGCGTGACTATAATCATGTGCTCGTTGATCACCAATGTTCCACTGGAACAGACTTTAGATATTATCGGCGTTCACGCTGATAAAATGGGAATTTCCGTCACAGTACCTCAAGTACCTACTGAGATTGTGCACAAGAGACATTCAGTTTTAGTTCAATGGAACAATCTATCGTCAAATAGATAGTGTGACCATGGGCAGCCCACTTGGTCCAGTCCTGAAACTGATAACAAGTCCCAGTTTTAGATGTTAAGCTAGCAATGAATCCAGGCGGTGTGCGCACTCGATCCGTGGATCGCAAGCCCAGTGGGACAAGACAGTACCAGAACTTTAACATGTTATATCCTATAAACCATAAACGCGTATTGGTTCGCACCATCTTTGCAGGTGATCGTAAAACCTGCCCTAAAGATACTATCAGCAGTGAACCGTGAACCGTATCCCCAACATTACATGAAAACGGATAACCTGAGACATTTGTAGCACGATATATAAACACTGCAAGCGAAGAAAAAAGGCCGACTGACGTCCCCAATGAAAGGTGTTTATTATACTACCGTTTAAAGGGGATCAAATGACAGAAGTTTCTGGTACTATCTTCACCAGAGAGAAAGAAATGTTACTATGCGGCCGAACTTGTGCTACTGTACCAAGTAAGGAAGCTGCTAGGTAAATAAAACCCTGACAAGCCACACCCTCTAGTTACAACCTCATGTGTTTACCTCTTTCATTGTACTTGTTGTGGCGGGTACGTGGGCTGAATTGAGAAAAGTCTGCCAACCAGGATTTCAGAGCACATTCCAGGTAATGTGGTCGCGAACGGTCCCAAGCTGCCGGCAAGCTTCATTGCCCAGCACATCGTTGACTGCACCATGCGTTAAAATCCCGGCGAAACGTTCAGGATAATTAGCCGACAGAACAATCCTCGCCTGCTTCATTTTACTGAAGTTTCTGCAGTTCGGCGGCTGAAACCTAATTTCTACAAACAGACTGAGTTTATGACAAGCTTCACTCTGCCTTGGTAATTGTTTGATTTTATCAAATTTAAAGCAAGTGATCTTGCACATTTTTCCTTTTAAACGCAACAGCATTTTTCCATGGATTGTATCCTTACAGCTGATGAGAATACCCGAAATATCTGAATTCAGAGTATCCCATTGAAATGTTGTTCCTGCTTGCTATCTTAAAATCCATGCTGATTAAAAATACCTGCAGCGTATAGAACAATGTATACTGGATCACAATCGTACTGATTGCCCTGGTGCTTTGATGCGGAAAATAATCAGATACAAAATATCATTTGTCTACCATGTTCAAGTGAAACCTGACTGTGCTGTGTGGAGAATGCAACAACGATACAAGGCCTAGACTAAGCTGGACATTTGAAACGCAAACCGACAGTTGTAGGGCAGCAAGCCCCAACTGCTTGTCGTCAAGGCAGAAGAAACCAAAGACCAATTTCTGTGACCATGGATCTATAGTTCAAATTAAAGCAAACGGGCAATCTATGAATAGGTTTGCAATCGTGATGAAAGGGGCAGCCACAGTAGACTGTGCTGCGGTGTGCCTACAGTTTACAGAGTAACCGTTTCCAATCGGCAGCGGAATAAATATGAAGCTCTTCGACCTTGTGGAGCCAAGGTATGCTAATTGCGTGAAGTGAAATCGTTAGATGTCTGGTAATGCAGATGATCAAAGCACATGTTTACATTTTGGTATGGGAGTTGTGGTAGGATTGAGGAATAATAGTAACATGTCCTCAACTAAAGCCTCTAGTTTGATTGCGAAAACAAAGATTTAGTTGGTCTGTATACAGAATATGCTGCAAATTATGTGCGACAACATGTTCACTGCGACTGCACTTTGATGGCATTGCCTCCCTGACAATACATAAAAATGGATAGCCAGTTAGTTACAGATACATGATATGGTACCATTGTTGCACCAGCAGTTTCCCAGTAAAAGTAAACTCTTCGTTCTCTCCACTGTGGAGAAATCAGTGCTGCTGACCCACTATTAAAGCGACTCCTATCTCACAAAGAATCTGACTGCGCTTAGCGATATCCTTTTATCACATGCGTTCTAGCTTGACTCTTTGGAACGTACATCGCTGTTACTTGATAACAGCAGCTGAATTCAAGCTTTAACAAGGTAGTGGACCATACGGCATAAGATCAAACGTTATAAGATATGAGGATCGTTCGGTCGAGGTCAAGAACAAAACAAACGACACCAATGGGAAGGAGTAATTGAGAAGATTTATGGTCTGGTCCACCATTTGATGGTGTATCAAGACGGATATCCAGAATCAGAAACCACTTACGTACGGATTACTTCATCGGAAAACAAAAGTGGTAGAGTTGGCTAGAAATAAGTTCGGCTTAGATTGCTTGTGTGTGTGTGGCTCTGTGTCTATTGGACTTGAAAGTGGTTTTTAAAAGTTTAGGCCACTCAACTCACAACGAAGCGGTTACAACTGGTTTTCAAGGAAGAAATTCTGGTCAAGAGGACGAATGCTTATAAACAAGCGAGCAACTTGACGCTTTTATTTGCTTGGCTGAATTGGGATGCAAAAAAGATGTGCGCATTGGGATTATGGTAGTACAACGGAATAACAGATCAAAGTA